TCTTCGATACATTTACACTTGATAGTAATATAAAGGTTCTGGTAGTTTCTGTAAATTTTTAAGCACCTATATGCATGAATGGTCTTTGTGTGTATGTATTTTTTAACACAAACAGACAATGTAATACTGTAGTGATGGTGGTTTCTCTTCCTTAGAACTTTGGAGTCCTTATACGAAGAACTAGTTCAACATGGTATTATCCGACGTTATCCTCAAGTTTCTATGAAGGAATACCTGGGTGACTACAACTATTTGGGAAGTTTGCAATTAAAACGTGGGTTAGACCCAATCCCAACACCTGCTGATGCACGAAGAGTTGTTAAGGAATATTGTATTCTTCCGTTAGGTAAGTTATATTGGTGTACATTAATTATAAGCCTTTAATATCAAGTTCTATTGGTGTACATTAATTATAAGCCTTTAATATCAAGTTCTTTTGGTGTACATTAATTATAAGCCTTTAATGTCAAGTTCTATTGGTGTACATTAATTATAAGCCTTTAATATCAAGTTCTTTTGGTGTATGTTAATTATAAGCCTTTAATGTCAAGTTCTATTGGTGTACATTAATTATAAACCTTTAATATCAAGAAACAATTGTGAAGTTTAAAGACCAATAAGGCTCCAGGGCCAGATAATATTTCCCCAAGGGTTTTGAAGGAGGTTAAAGATTGGATAGGTGAACCACTTGCTATTATTTTTTGTCAGTCCTTGAATAGTGGGCAGGTACCAGAGGATTGGAAGTTAGCTAATGTAACTACTCTTTTCAAGGGAGGTGTTAAAAATTGTTCCAGTAATTACAGACCCATTAGTCTTACATCAGTTGTGGGAAAAGTTTTGGAAAGTCTGTTAAAAGTTACTTTGCAAAGTCATTTAACAAAGTTTAGAATTTTATTGGATAGTGAACATGGTTTCTCTAAGGGAAAATCTTGCCTTCCAAGTATTTCAACATTGTTTGAAAAGGTTACTGCTTATGTAGATGAGGGTAAGAGTGTAGATTTGGCGTATCTGGATTTTCAGAAGGCATTTGACAAGATGCCATATAAAAGGCTTGTAAAAAACATTATCTCTATGGGTGTGGGGGGTAAGTTAGCAAATTGGATAGAAGAGTGGCTGGATGGAAGAAAGCAGAGGGTTGTTACAAATGGAGTTCAGTCAAACTGGAATAATTTCACAAGTGGGGTACCTCAGGGTTCAATCTTAGGACCTCTGCTCATTTTGACTTACATCAATGACATAGATGAAGTAATGATCAATAAATTACTTAAATTTGCAGATCAGATTAAGGTCTTGGGTGTTGCTAGCTGTGAAGAGGATTCTGCTGATTTACAAAAGTATTTAGATCATTTAGTGAGTTGGGCAAATAAATGGCAGATGGGTTTTGATTATAATAAATACAAGATAATGCATGTGGGTTATCATAATTTGAATTATAAGTATAATTTGGATGGGAATAACCTTAACAGGGTTATGAAGGAAAGAGATCTTCAGTCTCTAAAGCCATCCAAGCAGTGTGCTGTTGTTAGTGGTAGGGCAAATAGGATTTTAGGTTGCATCTATAGAAGTTTATAGAGGATATAATTTCATTGTATAGGTTACTGTGCTACCCACCAGGTAAAAAACAAAACTTGGTAACTTTTTGTTCAAGACATCTGAAAGACGTAGATGCTACCAGAGTGTAAATTTGTTCCATGTGAGTCATGGACACATTTAATTCTAGCTATGATAAACTTCTATATAGAAGGTAAAGAAACCGTCTTAGCTAAATCTTTGTTATAGGTTCTGCTAACGTTCATGAAAAAGCTCCACTGGTTCGATCTGTGCTACTAGTTGGTCCACCAGGGACAGGGAAAAAGATGCTTGTCCACAGTATCTGTACAGAGACTGGAGCTACATTGTTTGATCTTACTGCTACAAATATTGCCGGAAAGTATCCTGGGAAAGGTGGCTTGAATATGCTAATTCATCTAGTCAACAAGGTAGCTCGAAAAGTCCAGCCTTCTGTGATCCTTCTTCGAAATGCTGAGAAAACATTCATGAAGAAAGTTCCAAAAACTGACAAGGTATAGCTTCTGTTCTCTTTAAATCTTTAAACACAATCGTTACACTTTAAGTGATTAAATAAGTTGAAAAATGCGAAGGTGAAAAAATTAAATAAATTATACTTTTAGAGAAGAAACTCACCTTTAAAAACTAGGGTAATAATTTATTAAGTTGGCGACGTTTTGAACAAATGCTCTTTTTCAAGCCAGAAACAAGCCTGTTGGTTAAGGAACGCTTAATATATATATATATATATTTATATATAGGCTTGAAAACATCGCCAGCTTAATAAATTATTATCATAGTTTTTAAAGGTAATTATTTTTCTCTAGAAGTCAAATTTATTACACTTTAAGTACTTAAACACACCTATTACACATTAAGTACTTAAACACACCTATTACACATTAAGTACTTAAACACACCTATTACACATTAAGTACTTAAACACACCTATTACACATTAAGTACTTAAACACACCT